ATGAGAAACATCGATCAGCTGCCTCCTGCACACCTCCTACTGGGGATGTGCCCGCAACCAAGGTACATACCCTTAACCGGAATCGAACCTGGGACCTTTCAGTCCACAGGCCGAAGCTCTATCCACTGAGCCAAACCGGTTAGGGCACATGTTGTATCTCTTAAACTAAACTTTGCCTCTAGTAAAGAAACAACATGGTCTTGTTGTGCATGCTTGCAAAGGTTCTATTATATATCTAGGGCAGGCGTCAGCATGTCTATAGAAAGCTATACACACCATATACCTATATATAATCATAACCATGTGTGTTGTTATAATACCTGGTCTTCTTTTTTTTGTTAATCCTCATTCAAGGATATTTCTCCATTGGTTTTTTTAGAGAGAGTGGAATGGAGGGATGGATAGATAGAAACGTGGATGTGAGAGAGACACATCGATTGGTTGCCTCTCACATGAGCCCCCACCAAGGCCGGGGATCAGTCTGCAACTGAGGTACATATCCTTGACTGGGAATAGAACCCAGGACCCTTTAGTCCACAGGCTGATGCTCTACCCACTGAGCCAAACCAGCTAGGATTAGTCTTCTTTTTATACCAAGACATGTACATAACTGCATCAAAAAGTTTTCTATAAATAATCTTTCCCTGCCTTCTTTACCAAAATTCCCTCAACTTTTCACTTAATTTATGTAACAGCTTGTGCAAAGCCTATTAAATTTTTTAATCTTCAAATGAAAATAATAACAATTTCATAAAGTTAAAAATGTATTGAAGATATAAGAAATAAGGTGAGGGAAGAGGAAGGCTAAAGTTGTTGGATTACTCGATTTCCCACAAAGAAATAAACCGATCCAAGGTCATCTAACTAATTAGCACAAACACAAGACTTAAGCTCACCTAACCTTGACTTGGCGTCATATTGTCTAAACATACTGATTTTGTTCAGGTAGATTAAGATGACACTATAAGGATATGGTGATGAACTTGTATATAAAATATTATCACCATTGGCTTGTTTTGACATAAACAAGATTAGGAAGAAGGATGTACTTTTTCAGCAGAGCACCTCTCAATTTCATAATCCTGCTATCTACTCTTCAAGGTGGGGGGAGGGGGATCTTTTTAAGGAACAAATTTAAAGGACTAAATAAACTAGTAATTCTTTTGGTCTGTTCTCCACCTATCAGAACAAGATTGAACTAGCTGCTCACGGTCATGGAGGCTTGGAGAATGCAAATAGAGATTTACCCTTTTTATATGTTTGTTCTTTTCACACCTGATAAAATTACAGTAAATACGAAACATGTTTTAATGTAATGCTTTGATAATAGCAATGATGTGTCATGGATATATAATACAGTAAATATTGTGACTGCTTACAGTGAGCTTCAGAACTATTTATACTAACTCTTGCTTGATTTAAAATGCTCTACAATGAACAAAAATTAAAACAATTTAATTGAGAATTTAACAAAAGCATTTTTAAAAGCACATAGTGAACTCTCATCTTGGGTAAGCAACAATTGTAGAATTTAAATTTAACTTCTTTTTATTTTACATGGTAACAGATTGTTACCATAAATTCACAGCTTTGGTCTTAAAATCCCTCTCTGCTGACAATCAGTTTAACAGATAACTCAAGAGTCAGCCAGGCCTCTCAGAAACAATGTTCTCAAATGGTCATCTTACACAGAGAATCTATCACTGGTGAACAAAAAGGTTATTAAGCACATGACCCCACCAATCAAATGCCTTTCCTACATGTTTTTGTCTACACATTTGTGCATCCATTTCTTTTATGTTCTTTGATATTATCTATTCCTAAAATCAGGAACTAGATATTTAATGCTGTAAGTGATGTAGTTTAAGTGAGACTTTTATTTATGTGCCTTATAATGAAATGGTTTATATTGCCTTTGACACATAACATTTTCATATGTTAGTTCTCAACTGAGGGTGGTTTTGCTCCCCAGAAACATTTGACAATGTCTGTGGACATTTTTTACTGTCGTGACTGGGATGAAGATGCTATTGGCATCTAGTGGGTAGAGGTCAGGGATGCTGCTAAATATCTTACAATGAACAATGTAGGCAGCCCCCTTCAACAAAGAATTATCTAATCCTATCTTTTGATGAGAGAGAATCATTGATTGGCTGCCTCCTGCACAGATGGAGCCCACAACTCGAGCATGTGCCCTGACCAGCAATCAAACCATGATCTCCTGGTTCCTGGGTCGATGCTCAACCACGAATCCACACCGGCCTGACTACATGTCTCTTTGTTTTATTCATCTCTTTATTGCTAGTATCTAGCATGGTACCTGATAATAAAAAGTTACTCATTTTGTAATGGAAACAAGGGAAAAGAAGTAAACAGAGGTGTTTCTAAGAAAATTTTTAACAAAACTAAAACAAAATCTTGGGTAAATAATTTGAGCATTCATAACTGATATTCATGAGACAATAATGTATTGATCAAAAAGGAGGTTCTGGCTCTAGCTGGTTTGGCTCAGTGGATAGAGCGTTGGCCTGTGGACTGAAGAGTTCCAGGATCGATTCCAGCCAAGGGCACGTGCTTGGGTTGAGGGCTCAATCCCCAGTAGCGGGTGTGCAGGAGGCAGCTGGTCAATGATTCTCTCTCATCATTGATGTTTCTATCTCTCCCTCTCCCTTCCTCTCTGAAATCAATAAAAAATATATATATTTAAAAATAAAAAAGGAGGCTCTGTTTGTAGATATAACTCAAGCCATCCAGTCAGGATCCACCTTCCCATCTTTTACCAACAGGTCCACAAGCCATTTAAGAGTAAAAGGGCTTCTGACTGTGGTTAGCAAGGGCTCATCCTGGCGTTAGCTTTTGGAATTGGTTCTTGAAGCTTTACTGAATTTTACCCACTTTAATGAACATAGTCCAATAAAGTAATTCAAAATAAGAAGTAATTTC